ATAGAAATCAGTTGGGTTCAAGTCCAAAATAATACAACTATACAAAGCTACTTAGCAGAAATTAAGCTTTAGTCTTTCTTATACAAAGCTGAACTCATGGCTATTTTATCAGCAATTAGTACCTGTTCTAGATCTAGTCAGGTTACAATATTCACAGACTCTTAATCTATAATATCTAAATATAACAAACTCTTAAAATTATTACTGACATCAAACAAATAATATTTATACAACTATTGGCCAATATTGCATACTCTTCTAAATTTAATTAAAATTTACTCAATCAAAGTTAATTTTCAAAAAGTAGATATATATAGCAACAATATCTTTAACAACATAGCAGATGAATTAGCAAAAAACTAAAATCATCTATATATATTAGAATTTATATATAACAATATATACAATCTGTCATATTATCTACAATACAACAATCTTGCATTTAAACAACCAACAAGAAGATCTATCAAAAACATTTGTAATGCCCAAAACATTACAATATGATCATCACAATATTGTATAGAAAACATTATACCAATAGCTATACAAATTAACTAGAATGCAACATGGTTTTACCTTAACAACAATAACAAAAGATCATCTCTATATACAAACTTTAAACTTTGTCAGAACAAAGCTTTTAAAATTAAAACAATGCTAAATATACTACCAACACTATTACATCTATACTCATTATACCCAATAACATTTATTAACAATAACTGCATCTCTTGTAATGTACATGAAAGACCATAGTATTGGTTAAATTGCTCTGATATATTAAATCTAAGTTGTACAATCAACAATACTATATAACAATTCTTTAATTCTAGCAGATTAGAAATCACAAACACTGAACTACAAGAATTATATAACAAACTGTTCAGTTACCAATGTTTAGTTTCTAATAACTATATCCAAAATAGTACAAATGTCTATACAACTTTACAAGAATACATTTCTCAGTTACTTATTTAAACAATCTGTGAATACACAGATTCCAACCAGATTGCAACTAATATCACTATTAAATTTTTAATAAAACTATCAAATGAGATATACAACCAAATATAAAAACTATACTGTACTAAACTAGCCAATTAAAAACACCAACACAATATACTAACTTGATCTGCATGCACATAAACAAATATACATAATAATCCAAACAATATAGAAAATATACACTACTTTAAATCACTATATACTTACAACTGCATTTGTGGTTTGGCAGACCAACAACATATAGGAGATAAATATAATATTTGCCTACCTATAGAAATAGCAAAAAAGAAAACATCTATTTGGATATCTGAATAAATTAAATATAGCACCCCAACTAACAATATAATTATCTATCAAATTAGCAATACTTTAACTAATAAAACCTAGATAAGATTTAACTACTCTAGTAGGTTTAGGTTGCAGATAAATTAGATTAAACTAGGTAGCCTTAGTATATCTATAGTCTGAGTCTTATTCTTGTAAACAATTTGTAAACTTGACCTTTGGTCAAAGAAACCCCTTGTGAATTCTTAATACAAATTATAATAAAGATAAAGACAAAACCTCACCTTAAAAAAAAAAAAATCACTTTCTACTTGACTAGCAGATCATTAATTAAATATTTTTTCTTTAAGCAATTATACTAGTACTTTATTAAGATTTTTAAAATTATTATTGTAATTATATAGATTTACCTAACAACTAAATCTAATATCATCTGATTATCTTAATAATATCTAAGTACAATCTGTTGCATTATTTTTAACAAAAGTAAGCTGCTTGTTTGACTATTTAAAGTTTATAATGAAAAGGTCTTTTCTCTTTTATAACAAGCCTCAAAATTGTCTTTTTAGCTTTATCTTCAATTTGCTTTTTTTTTTTTCTATTTTTTGCTGATTAGTTTTTTTTTTTTACTTTGGTTTTTTTTTAGGGGGTTCTTTTTTCATTCTACTAGTTATTTCTGTTTTTCTTTCTTATTCATTGACTTTTTCATATTGTGTTCTTCAGACTTGCTTATAAAAAGTGTTTTAGACAGAACACTTTTACAACAGTTAATCCAGTGATTATTATAAATTGTTACTCTCTATATAATCATATTGTAATTTTTATTGGTCAAAAAAATATAAACAAATATTAGGTAATATTAATTACATAATTGAAGTATGCTATTGAGTGTTTCCAAAAGAAGTTATAAAAAAAAATTTATATAATTATGTAATTATAATAGATAAGCATATTAGATATTTTATCTCTTCATATAATCTTAAGCATAACATTGTTATATAGAAATTTCTATAATTTTAAATCAAAATTAATTCAAATATTTGGTGAATTAAAGATTCAATTTCAATCTTTAGATTTTAATAAAATTAAAAGCAAAGATATCTACAAGTGAAGCAAAAATAACTATAATATATATAACTTCAATAAGTTTATTACAGTATATTGGTTATAAATAATATTTATAAATTATTTAATATTATTCACTTATTATCTTTTATAAAAGTAATTAAACTTAGAAAAAAAAAGCATAACTTTAATCATATGAATATAAATATGCTTATTACAATTCTTATTTTAAGAGGTTAATATATAATATTCTTCTTTTTTTAAGTTCGTAATAGTTCTTAAACTTATTGAGTTAGTTCTTATGATCTGTTTTACTTACTATTTATTAAAAATATAATATGTGTAAGCTGCAGCAAGAGCATAGTATTTGGTTAAATAACTTTGTAAAATAGTTCTTTAAGCTGGTAATATTGTAAATGCTTCTAGTAATTAACCTAAATAAAAAGCATATACTAAAGTTTTTTTTTTTCTTTGTTTAGTTACTTGAAGAAGTTCAAAATATATAATGTCTACTTGGGCATCAATAGTCATAGTAATATCATAGGGAACTAGTAGTATAGTAATATTTTGAGAGTTAGTATTACTTAGTTCAGTTATAATTTTATATATGCAATAGTCATTTTATTATAAATTATAAAAGAATGCTCTTGGGTAAGTTACTTTTAAAAAATTATTTTAAGTGATAGTAGTGATAAAAATGACATACCTGTAACTTAGTTGTCATATGTAATATAAAATTTTGTAAAGCAACAGCATAGGAAGCTCTGATGCAATCAGGGATTACATATGCTAATAATATATGCATCAATATAAGTAATAAGAAAATACAGAAATAGCATTTTTAAAGAACAAATAAGTATAAGAGCTAAGGACAATGGGAACAAAACTATCTTTACTGTATATGAAAAGAAAATTCTTTTCATGACCTATCTGACCCACTTGACCTACTTCTAAGTAGTAAGTATATAATTTTATCATTTCATTACTCAAAGCTAGCTTGCTTTAGTAAATAGAAAACTATTAACTGTTCTTATAATAACTTTTAGTATAATTATAATTACTTATTTAGTAAGTAGTTTTTGTCATTCTGGCCAACTCAGCTAATTGCTCATTTACTATTATGTACTTTGTTAATTTCTTAATAAAAATCACTTGGTTTAAACTAATTGCTAACATAATTCAAAAAAAACAAAAAAAAAACAATAACAAATATTGTGTAAAGTAATTCTTTTCAATTTAAATAAATTCATATTACATATTTATAATTAGGTTTTAATACTAGAAATAATTGATTGAATATAACTTTATTTAAACAATACATTATTAGCTAAATTGGAAAATCATATCATTTTTTCATATATTTATAGTAGTTTACTTTATAGTTTCATATGAAATAAATCTAATATAACTTTCTAATTTAAATATTACTTTTTTTTTTATTATTATTATTTTATTAGCACTATTACTAAGACTATTTTAAGTTGAATTTTAGATTAATATCATTTCTTCTTGCTCTGTAGCTGTTTTCTCAAAAATTAAAAAAGCCAATAATATAATAGAATTTACTTAAAAACAAAGTACATGAGAAATTTTGATATAAATAGTAATAATCTTTAGAAAAAATAATAAGAAAACAATATTTCAGTATTTTGTTTAAAGTTAGTGTTTGTTTAAATTTTATTCTTTTTCCTCATGTCTGAGCTTAAAATTCTGATATTGATATAAAAATCAACTTAAATAGCCTAATTTATACATTTCTTTTTTAAATCTAATTTAACATTAATAATAAAAATATTCTAAGCAGTTGAATATTAGTAGAAACAGAATTTTAGTTTATATATATATAAATTAAAGTATTTTATTAAATACTCTGTATCATAATACAGTAATTAAGTATTTGTTTTTATAATTTTCTGGTTGGTCTATCTTTTCTAAATTTTTACTATATAATATGATATGTTTTCAAGCTTATTAAATACATTACTATCATTTTGAATAAAATGTTGTCTTTATATATATTTAGCAAAATAAGTATTATATAGATTTTTAAAAGTTCCATACTGTGAAAGAGATGCTTTTATTAATTGCCAATTTGATTCAATTGTATTTGTATGAACTTCAGTTTCAGGATCCTTAAAATGTTTTAAATGATTAACTTTTTCATGCTTTTATCCATATTTTTTAAAATCTTCTGTTTGGCAAGCTGACCAACAATTACTATAAATTGTTGTTTCTTTTTCTATATATTCTTCTAAAAGTTTTAATAAGGTCTCTTTTGTTCGATCTGATACTGATACAAAAAACAAATTATCTAATTTTCTTTCAATACCACCAAAAACCTATTGTTCTTCTACTCTTTTTTCTTTATTATATTTATATTTTCCAAATTTATTTTCATTAATTTCTACAATTTTTTCTTTACTACCAATTTTTTTATATTTTTGATTTATTAATGCTATACTACACACATTATGACAAAAATTATACCAATTGACAGTTTCCAAAATAGCAAATTTTTAAGACAATTTATAAGATCAGCAAAATATAATTTTAGTGATTTAAGCAAAAAACAATTTAGATCTTGCTAACCATATTTTTGCCCTTATAGTAGTAGCATAATCACAAGCAGTTTTCAAAGTACAAGTCTATTTTTGTTTATCACTACAGGAATTATCTTTTGTTTTATGCATAAAACTTTGACATTTAGAACAAAGATGTATTATAGAAAGAATTTCAAGATTTTCAAAAAATTTAATGGTACTTTCTGTATTTTGAATATTAAAATAAATATTTTCATAAGTTTTTATTAATATAGATAATATTGACAATTGTTGAACTGAAGATAAAAAAGTTTCTTCATTATCTTCTGCTATGATTTTATTTTTATTAGCAGGTTGATAAACAACTAATATAAAAAATTATGTATAATACACCAATTGGCATCTCTTCATCAAAAAGGTTAAAAAAAAATTATATGTAGTAAACATTATACTGTATATATAACAATTAAACAAATAATTAATAAATAATAAGAGGATTATATTAGTAATTTGTATTTTATATTTTTAAAGAGAACTTTGTATGTGTTTATTATTTTTTAATAAAAGAAAGAATGAAAATTCTTAAACAGTAAAGTAAAATACATCTATTATATATAGAGATTTGTTAATGCCACCCCCTACTTTTGCTAATGCCACCTCCTTTATATAAAATATTTAATCTCCGACCTTTCAGACCCTAATTATTAATTAGGGTTAGATTATGTAAGGGGTGGCATTAACAAAAATAGGGGGTGGCATTAACAAGTCTCTATATATATTATAATTTAATAAGCAGACTGAGGTGTTATATTAGCTATAATCAGTAATTATATCTTAAAGTATAAATAATGATTATATCAGATATAACATCTATCTTATAATTATTTCTTTATATAGAAGTAATTACAGCAACTTAAGCAACAGAAGAGACAAAAGCAACAGCAAATCTATAATTAGTTTGGTTACATAAATATGTAATTATTCAAGATACCTTGTTGACTAACCTTTTTTTTAATTAACAGTTAGTGATATTGTTAGACAGTTGGGTACTAGCATTTTAAATTGCAGCTGTATGCTAAGTAACTTTTTCTTGTGTATTTAGAACACTTAGCATATAAGGTATGAGCAATCATATTTGTAAAGAATAAACATTTACTATATATTTTACATAGAAAATTCTTATTTGTTACAAATAATTGGTTATTGCTCACACCCTTCTTAAGTTTTCTTTAGCATTATATTTTATATACACAACAATATGTTACTTCAATACTCAGTTATAGTATTACCAACTATATATATATGTTTGCTTGTTTAATGTATTATATACTACTAATTTGCTTTATCATATACTACTACTAATTGTATTACTTGTCAACAAGTACACAAACAATACTAAAAACACACAATACTATAGTACTAAAAAAGTTAGCTATATATGCTTTCAAATCTTATTTAAAAGCTCAAAAAAAAATTTGGTATTAATTTTATTCAATTAATAAAATATGATTAATTTTGATATTTGTTTACATTTTTTAGCCAATTAAAATTATTTTGTGATTATATGAAGAATGATCATCTATAATTATCTATGATCATTATTGAATTAACTGTTATAAAATCTTCTTGTTTTAGACTATTTCTGCTAATGCATTTACAAATTGTTGTTTTGTCCTTGTATTTAGAAGTTGTGCTAATTTGTCTTAAGTCATTTTTAGAATTAGACTCTTAATTAGCACTTTTTTTATTTCTATTTCTTTTGTTTCTATTTTTTCAAAAAGTGTTGTATATAATATATAAGATGAAACTTTAGTTTTTTTTCTTCTTTTAATTCTTTTTATGCTGTTGTAATAGATACTTTCTGTATCTTTTTTTAAAAACTTGCTTGTCCTTTGTATGACTCCAGATGCCTTTGTATTTTTTTGATTTTGACTTGACATACTTGTTATTCTGCATTTATATATAAATCTGATATTTTTTTGTAGAGTTTTTCTATTGTTTAAAGTTTGTCTAATAAACATTTTATAAAAATACTTCTTTTTGTACTGCTTCTTTTTGTTATACAATGTACTCTTTTGGTTAACTTCAGTCTTTTTCAAAAATATGTCTAATCATAAATTATTATTTCTGTTACTAGTTCTAGATTTTTGATTGCTATTGTTTTTCTCTATTTTGCATCTAGTCTAATATTTGTTACTAGTTTATATAAAAGTCTTGCTTACATATCTATTCATTTGTTTTTCTACTTTAGACAATACTTTATATCTTTATAACTAACTTCTTCTATGTTTATTATTTTTTTGCTTAATATTTTTTTTTTTATAAAACTGTTAGTTTTATCATTCCATTTGTCTTTGCTATAATTTTTCACTTTAAACTACTCTATCTGTATATTTTTTGTTCTAATTAGATTGATTATCTTTACTATTTACAAAGCATTTTTCTTCTTAAGAATTTTATTTCTATCTGTATATTTTAACTCTTTATTAATGTTTCTAATTACGCATTATTGTTTGTAAATATTTTTAGTTTTTTCTCTTTTGGTATAATTAAAATTGCTACCTATATTGCTAATAACTCAGCTATTATTAATGTTGGCCACACTTTTATTTCTAATGTTATCTCTTCTTCTAACTAATCTTGTGTTTTATTTGTTTGTACTCATTCTATACCTATATTTTTATTTACTGTATCTTCTTTATTCTGTTTATTTGCTGCATCATTAGTGTATATTGTATACTTGTTCTTGTTTCTTAATACATTCTTCTTCAAAGTTTTTACTATTTTTTGGATAACATTCTCTTTTGCCTTTTATTTTTTAATTAGCTTTATTTCTAGATTCTTTAATGTTTTAAGTTCTGTTAGCTTTTGTTCATTTTTTTTTAACTCTTTTACTTTTACATGCTCTGTTAATTGGTCTGTTACTGTCTTGATTATGTTGTTGCTTTTCTTTATTAGTATATATAAGATTACTTTTATTTTTTTATTGATTTTTATTCAATATTGATAACTGTTTTCTTCTGCTTTTTTTTTACTTATATATTTATTGCATTTGCTGATTTTGATTGCTAGATTACTTTTTACAATTTGCATTTGCCAATGTTCTATTAGTATTTTTTTTTTCTAATTATTTTTACCAGTTGTCTGTCATCTTTTGCATCATATAAAATTTATTCTTTTATTTTTTTATCCTTCAATAGGTTTTCTGATTTCATTTTTATTGCTTGTATATTGCATTCATCTGTCTTAAAAGGTTCTTCAACCTCTCTACTTTCTAGTTCATTAAGCACCCTTGCTTTTATCTTTTTAAACTATTTTGCTTTTTTATCTTTATTCAATTATTTTTAATAACTTTTAAATTAGTATTATGTTATTAGACTTTTACTTTTTGTATTAAGTAGTTGGTTTAGATATATTAGATCAGTTTTATTTATTTTGGCTCCACTTCTTTTTCAAAAGCATGTTTCTAGTAGTTTAGCTATTTTATAATCATAGCTACTTGTTGTTCATAGTTCACTTTCTATACTTATACTTATTTTTAGCTTTTTTACTTTAACTATTATCAAACAGACTAAATTGTTCTTTCAACATAATCTATCTTCTGACAGCTTCTTTACTTTTTATATGCCTTCTGTTAATCTTGCCCTTTGGCAACTTTGCATTATTTTTAATTTTGTTAACTATTCCAATTCATCTTTTCTATTAAGTCTTACTAACAGATCTTCTACTTATTTTATTGTTAATTCCTATTACAATATTTTGCAATTGCCCAGATTCTTGTATTCTATTATGCAGTTTTCTATCTTAGTTTCTCCAAATATTATCTTTCTTTCTTCTTTTTTAATTTTTCTGTTTATTATTATCCATTTTGACTTGAATCTGTTTATCTTTATATTATTTATTTTAAAAAACTTTTCTGTTATTTCCAATATTTTTAATAACTATTCTTTGCTTTTCATAATCTATATTGTGTTATTCATATATGCAATTGCTGCTTAATAATAGTTTTTAATATTATTGCAATGCATTTCTTATTTGGTTTTTTGCATTACTATATTGCCTAACCTTTTATTTTTCTATATTTTTTCTAATAATGTGTCATAAAAGAGACATTATATTAGTGATGATATTATTTTACCTTAATTTATTTTATTTCTTGCTATTATTTTTTTTATCAGACCATAGGCTGTGATTATCTTAAACTGTCTTTTATAAAAAAGATTTAAAATATATTTAATTGTCTTCTTAGATATTTTAACTTTTTCAAAGCTAGTTTAAGACATTTAAGTAAAACAGAATCAAAAGCTTTTTTTATATCTTGCAAAAGTATTTACAATTCTTTGTTTTTTTCTTTTGTCTTTTCTATTATTATATTTAAAACATGTACTAGTTGTTTTGTTGAGCTTTCTGAGAGGCCTGCATAGTTTGGTTCTTTAAGTACTTCTTTTTTAACAAATACTTTACTAAACCTTCTTGTTAATATCTTTATTACAATATTTCTGAATATCTTAATTAATGTTATTGGCCAAATGTTATTTAAACTATATTTTTATTCTATATCTTTTAATATCAGATATGCTTGTGCTATTTTTTACTTTATTAGTACTTCTTTTATTTCTAAACATAGATTGTATAGGATCTAAACACTTTTTGTGTTTTCTTTTCTGCTCTTTTAATTAATATATAGCTTATTTCTAATATTTCTAAAACCGTTCATATTTTAAACTTTTTAATTATTTTATTCTATTTTTTTTTCTTAATTTTCTTTTCAATTCTATTATATTATTTTTCTTTATATAATTTTGTAGTTTATAGATTTCTTTCTAACTTTCTGACATATTTTTTAGTTTGGTATTTCTTTCTCTAAATTGTTTATTATAATATTCTGTTATAACTCTTTGACTAGCTTTGATTTTGTTACTACTTTTGTCTTTTCTTTTGCTTGTTTGATTAATCTGTCAAGTATTACTTTCCTGTACAGCTTGTTCAAAAGACTGACTATCATTTTTTCTTGTTCAGTTTTAATTATTTTATATTTTTTGTTTATGTTTTCTTCTATTAGTTTCTTTATTTTTATTTTTGTTTTTTCTTCTTTTTTTTCTTAAAAAATTCTTTGCCAATCCTTTATATCCTTTATTTAAGCATTAGACTATTATCTATAAATTTTGGTAATGAGGATGGCAATCCTAGTATAGTGGTTGAGTTGTCATCCTCCAAGTGGTGGTCTAAGGTTCAAATCCCACTTATGATGAAATTTGGAAATTATATTTGTGTTATGATAACTGTCTTCTGTCAATCGGTTGGCCTCATGTGGCTATTACCCAGGTACACCAGGTCAGGTCCTCACAACTTTGGGAGCTCAAGG